TGTGTCACAGTATAATTATCTAGTGAATTTTAAATTTAAAGTTGGGAGAAGGACTTGGGCTCTGCTACCTTGTGTTAAATGCTACTGAGAAATATAAAAATAAATAAAGTGTGATGTCTCCCTTTAAGGATGTTACAATCTAGTGGGAGAAACTTGTATGTAAATGGCTGATTATGATATAAGGCAATGTGAAATAAGCACTAACCAGAGGACAAGCTCATCCGTGGTAACACAGATAATGGAGCAATTAATTCTAACTGAAAGGGAATTAGTAGCTCTTTTGCAAAGGTGGCGGCATTTGAGAAAATGTTGAAAAATAATTATAATTTTAGAGGGGCAGAAGAGAAGAAAAGGCATTTCACTGCTGGAATAGATTTAGCACAGGCATATAGACTTGATTCAAGAGTTGTTTTGTTTTAATTTAGTACATACAAGACACTATGGTAGGCTCTGGGAGATATGCAAAGAAAAATAATACAAGTTTCCTTTTCTCCTATAGCTTACACTCTATTTTGAAAGAAAAGTCCTTTCTCTATAAGTATATCTGAAGAGTTATCCATAGCATATCGTAGGCTGGAATGATGTAACTGAGTGGCAAGTCCTTTAAAATCTGCAGTACATAAGACCCATAAAGAATTCACTACTGCCAGAGGGAGTAAAGAAAGGTTTCTAGAGGATGTATAATATGAGTTGTTTCTTGAAAGATGGATAAAATTTGATATGAGAGATAAGGGGCAAGGATAGTCAAAATGACAGGGACAGCATGAACAAGACCTAAAGGCAGAAATGATCCTGGCACGTCCATGTGATTGTGAAAGCATCAACTTAGATGGAGTAGAAGGTACCTTTTGGCCCACTTTAGGAAAAACAAATTAGAAATGCATGTTTAGGTGAATTCAAATGCTTACAAAGTTCAGGCACGTAAATTAAGTGAGCAAAGTGGACTGGGCATATAATGAGAGGGAGTAGAGGAGACTACAGCTCAAGATCAGAGAAAAGGAAGACATCAATGAGCTCTAGCCAATTCCACAGTGAACTCTGCCCTAGTGTTGCCAGACTTTCTCATTTATTATGATGCTGCCATTAATCTGGATTTTTACATATATATATAAAACTAGAAACTAATTCTTATGACAAAACATATAATGATGTTGGTCAAAACTCTACTGGACACATAAAAATTCTTTAAGTCATACTGAGTCATGTCTAGTATGTGGACCACTAATTTTCAACCTCTGCTGAATTGTAGAGGTCAAAGACTGCTAGAACTAAAGCCTTCGTATTTTATCCTATAACTATTTAAGGTTATAGAAGAGAGATGCAACACAAGGAAAGTAGCATGTTTTAATCAGCCTATAAAATGCAGGATATTTATATGTGAAAAATATTAAATGAAAGGGAATTAATAGGAGTAACTGACTGCTATTAAAGTTCTTAAAATGATTTTTAGATGAAATTCGTCTTAAAGTCTACCTGTTGTTTAAACTGATCACAAAAAAAATATACAACAAAATTTGGAAATATTTGTTGGCTCTAAATTCTTCTCAAATTTCTCATTTGTCTTTAAGAATAAAAACTGCCACTACCCACTCTTCTCCATTCTACTACAGAGAGGATTCTAGGTACACACTTTCCGGTTTGATCTGAAGGAGTATTTGATGAATGATCCTTTATTTGCTATCACTACCAGTTGCCAATGTTGGATGCCACCAGGATGTCTTGGTCAGGTTCTTTTATGTACCTGTTCTGTTTTGGTCCATGAACCTGGCTGACACTGAAACCAGGTGGGGTTTGGGAGTTTGCAACAGATGATTTTGGGCCGGCTAATTTCAAAATTTGATAAGAGTATATAAATCACACACACAAAATGCTATGTTCTCCCACTCATGGTTTAGCTTTTTGCCCAATCAGGTGTGAAAGAACTGAAGTTGATGCTAAGAATATGACTTCTAAGCCTTCACATTGAAATCCAGAAGGTTTGTTACTTAACAAAAAAGCCAATATATTTTCTCTCCCCTATCCAGGTGGAGGAGCTTAGTAACAAGGAAGAATTGGGCAGAATGAAGAATTTCACATAGAGATTACAATATTATGCCTCTGTCTCAATGAAATGCAGCATTCCAGATGTTGCCTACATTTCACTTAAAACCAACTTCTGGGATTTATGAACGATGCAAATCCCTGAACTGTACAGGGCAACCCTGCTTCCTAATGCTGAGAAAACACTTAGAGGATCATCACATCTTGAAAATGTGCGAATGAACCATAAAGTCTGATTAAAATCAAAGGTGCAATGTTCCAGGAGAACTCTTTGTGACTCAGATAAGGATGGCTTAGGTTTCATCATTGATGACAGTACTTGAAGGTAAGATTTGCAAAGATAAGAAAGTCTTAGTAATAAAAACAATTCACGATAGCTCCTTATTAAGTTATTTTCATGAAACAGGGTTGAGACCTGAGAACTGTACAAAAGAACAAGAAAGAAAGAGAAAAACAGGCCACATTTATAGAGCATTCACTTGTTAAAATGTGAACTATTAAGGACTCATAACACAAAACATGACCTTTCTAATTACTTAATTTGATGATTATTTATAAATAATAAGTCCAAGTTATGAGCAGATATAAACCAAGATGAACATCTTCTGTTATTTAATTGTACAGGATAGAATAGTTGGAAGTATTTTTCATAGACAATATCTCTATGGGAGAGAAAATGCTCACATATTTCAGTCTTGGTTAAGATCAAACTGATCTAATTAGCTTTTTCATCTAATTTATTTCTCAGAATTCCCTTTAGTGAGACATGCTTTTGTTAAGCGTTAGGGAAAGCTGTTTGGAGAAAAGTTTGGAATTAGACATACAATACCAAAACGAGAAGCTTTCTCCAAAGATAAGCCCAAAAATGATCTGAAAAACTAAAATGACAATTAGAAAGTCATAAACTATATTGTTATATTAATAATAAGATGTGACATACAGAATAACCCAGGATTATTCTATATTTATTATATTTGGGGCAAAGGACATAATTTACCTGGAGAATTTTAATTAAAGTTACATGCAACAAATGACTTCTTGCTCTTCTGATTGAATGATTATTTAGCTATATTGGTTAGTTATCTTGTAAGCTCGTATATCATCGAGGTGTTGATAAACTTGTAATTAAATGTGTAAACAACTTTGTTTCATTTTTATTTTCTGATTTCGAATTATAAGAATTGATTGTGAACAGAGTGTTCCTACAACATACTTCACATTCTGGACACTGTAAAATTTCACTTCCACTTCTTTGCATATGGCATATATGGACTGTGTCCTATAGGGAATAAAACTGTAAACATAGTACCTTATATGGACATTGTGACCATAAGAGTATGTTCACAAGATATCACTAATATGATTATAAAACTGAGACAGAGGCAAGATATAGGTAAAATTCTGGTAGACTTTACCTGTTCAATTTCCTACAAGAAATTTTTATTTGGCTAAAAAGAGAACCTTGATGCATTCTTCTTTTACTTAAATTTCATTCTCAGAAGGTGGAAAAAAATCAAATAACTGTACTTGATTTTGACCAACAAGAAAGAAACAGTTAAATTTAGTTTAGAGAAGAGACGCTGAACTACCATAACACAATCACCTCCTTGAGCAAGTAAATATTTTGCCATACCTCATTGATAACTACCATGTGTCCTATTTGTGTCACTACTGGCTTTTGAGGATTTGGTATAGAAATATAAAATCTCAAGTTGCAGATACACCTACCTACTCCATTTTTCCTTAGCATATCTTTAGTGTTTCATTATTTTAGGAATATTTTTAAAGAGATGATGAGAAAATTATGTGTTAAGATTCATCAATGACTTTCTGTAACAACATGCTAGGAAAAGAGCAACACTAATCATCAATTCTCTACGAAACTTGCCAAGCCGACCTTGTGGTATACCTTTTTAGAACTAACCCCTAGTGCAGGTTTCTCAACTGTCGATGTTTCTCTTAGTTAATTAACTTCAAGGAACAGCTTCCTCCCCATCCAAAATCACCCATCCTCATCTCTACTACCCCTTTCACTAAGCTATGTACCTATCATCCAAATTTAATATGCCCTATGCATAATAATTCTCTAGGTAGAACCAATGACTTAAGTATGGAATTTCAAATATTTTAGGAATCATGGGTGCACTGTTACCCTAGTGTTAAGAGGTAATTAATAAAAATTCAACCTGGGAATTTCACAGATCACAAGGGGTTATCACAGGAAAAAGTTCTGCCATGATGACGTATGAAAATAGTTGACTGCCCTCATTCAAATTATAGCCATTATTTCTTAATCCATATGAATTCAAATGCTTCTATAAGTTTCTTGGAGAAATGTTAATAATAGGGTTAAGAATAAGAATGCCATTTTACTGAGTGATTCAAAAACTAAGAATTTACTAGTTGGTTTTAGAAAATATTAACTTGGGTGCTGCAACCAAAACAAAATCCTGGTTCCGTATTTCTTAAGTGATCAAAGAAGATCATGTGAAAGAACAAAATGTTGTTTTGCAAACAGACTGCCAAAGAAGGTAAAGAGCATTTCTCTGGAAACATAGGACAAGTTTGCTCTGTTTAAGTAACGTAAACAAAAACCTGGGGTAGCAATGACACACCTAAAAGAGGGTTTGGAAACTATTACATACTTCTCACATCTGGACTAATTATATCTCCGAATGGCTCCAGCATTAATAAACATTCATAAGTGGTTAAAGCCTGTGGGTAATTTAAATAATGCGTATCTTTATAAAGGACTTTTCCTCAAAGAATATATTTACCTCTCAGAGATAAATTTCAAATCACATAACCACAGGACGCAAGCACCAATTAGACAGTAGAGCAATCCATTTCAAAACAAGCAACGCAGACCGAGATCTTCTTTCCATACATATGAATATTTGGTAGCTAAATAGATTCAAATATCAGGAACAGTGCAGCTGTTACTGGGGACTGAAACTTACCAGTACTCGTAAGGAAGTTAACATTTCTCATCACACCTTCAGTGTAAGCCCCCGGCTCGTAACTGTCCATTTCACCTGTGACAATGTGAGCAACTCTTGCTGCCCGTCCTCTGATAGCACCTGCAGCACGGTCTAAATTATCAGCATCCTGGTCTCTCAAGGCTATGATACATTTGTTGACATCTTCTAGGATATGACTCTCTGTAAACAAACAGATCAAATTAGTTTTATGTTTTTTTTTTTAAATCACATAAACCTAGAATGTTATAATTTATGTTAACTTCTGACTTCAGAAGCAGTGCACATTTGGGAAAGGAAGACATTGACAATTAAGAAGGAAAAATACAGGCATGATTTTGCTTATATTTAATAGGAAAATTTGTGAAATATAGAATTTTTTTTTTTTTGGTGAGGAAGATCAGCCCTAAGCTAACATATGATGCCCGTTCTCTTCTTTTTGCTGAGAAAGATTGATCCTGGGCTAACATCTGTGCCCATCTTCCTCTACTTTATGTGGGATGCCACCATAGTGTGGCTTGACAAGCATTGTGTCAGTGCACGCCTGGGATCCGAACCCACAAACCGTGGGCCACCAAAGCAGAGCACACACACTTAACCGCTATGCCACCGGGCTGGCCCCAAGAATTTTATATTTTTATCAGCAATTTTTATAGATTACATATTATTTTAGATTCTAGTTGCAGTAGATAAGATTTTAGATTTGAGTGATTTACAGGTGGAAGCTAAGGAAAGTTTATAGATTAAAACAAAAACAAAACATAATGATGGAATACTTAATTCTAATTAAAAGCAACACTATACAATTACAAAACTCTTAAAAAATATCACCTATCCTAAATCTATAGAAAAATAAAACTATGGAGTCCCATTCAACTAATGTTTATTGACATACAATGAGATTTAACACAATTACAGAAATCTTGTAAATTAGTGAATAATGAAACGTGAAATATAATTTTTATACTGTAAAAGAACAACTTCACCACATCTGTGAAAACAACTATACATATAAAGGGCTTTAAAAAGATTGATTGACTGGAAGTGAATGAATCCCAGAGAAAGTTATCCACTCTGAAGAGTGTCTCCAGACCTCTCTCTCCTTCCCTTTTTGCATGAAGACAGCAGAGAGTTATTAGTATAGCACAACAATGTTTTCTTTTTCTATAAAATAATTAATACTCCCAGATAAAACTAATGAGAGGAGCTGAGCAAATATGAGGAATATCAATAAGCATGGGCAATGATATTTATAAGAAATTAAAAGAATACTAAAAGAATGGCTTCTGGCTTTATTAAATGAATCACCACCCAAAATCTTTAAAGACTCTATTACTTAAAAACAGACATACAAAACAAGTACAACAAAAAGACTTTAGTAATTCCAGAACGTGTTGTTAACTTTTTTCCTCCATCTCTCTTTCTCTCTGTGTATTGACTATCTGCAGGTAAGCTACATACGACAGGTATTCATTAAGCAATTTCATTGCAGAGTCATACCTTCTTCTTAGTGTGTAGAATATAAAATCCAAACTACCAAAGAATATGGTCCTTGGTGACCTTCTTAGACCTGATGCCTATCATTCCTCTGCAGGCCCCTTATGCTTTAGTTATATTTATTTTATATTTATCCCAAATTATCCATCTCCTCCCATGCCTCTGTTCCTGTGGGCATATTAGAACCTTGACCTAGACTGCTCTTTTGGGTTCCCGGACCCAATTCCTATGTTTGTGTATCTGGAAGCTTCCTCACACCAACAAGCAATTCTCTGGACACCAATTGGGTGCCCTACAATTCAACTCAATTCTGACGCTATCTAACCTGAGATGGCATCAGATTCCACAGGTTAAGAGTTCGGTCCTACAAGACTGCCCCCCTCCCACCCACTTCACATGCCCTTTGTAAATCCAGGTTGTTATCTGTACTTCTGACCAACTGTCTATAAATCAGAGATTCCCATGGCGTCCTCCTTGGGTTGGATTAATTTGCTAGAGTGGCTCACAGAACTCAGAGAAACATTTTACTTACTAGATTTAACTATTTTTTTTAATTTTTTTTGCTGAGGAAGACTTGCCCTGAGCTAACATCTGTTGCCAATCTTCCTCATTTTGCTTGAGGAAGATTCACCCTGAGTTAACATCTGTGCCAATCTTCCTCTATTTTGTATGCTGGTTGCCACCACTGCATGGCTGCCAAGTGGTGTAGGTCCATGCCTGGGATTCGGGTCCATGAACCTGAGCTGCCAAAGCAGAGTGCGCCAAACTTAACCACTACACCATGGGGCCAGCCCCTACATTTAACTTTTCTAACTCAGGAACAGCCAGATGGAAGAGATGCATAGGGCAAGGTATGAGGAAAGGGCGTGGAGCTTCCATGCCCTCTCCTGGCATCCCAATTTCCCCACATCTCTATGTGTTCACCAAACTGGAAGCTCTCTGAATCCCTTCCTTTTGGGTTTTTATGGAGGCTTCATTAAAATAGGTGTGATTGATTAAATCATGGCCATCGATGATTGATTCAACCTCCAGCCCCTCTCCCCTCCCCAGAGGTCAGAGGGTAGGACTGAAAATTCCAACCCTCTAATCACAAAGCTAGTTCCCCTGGCAACCAGCCCCCATCTTAGGTGGGGTCTAAAAGTCACCTCATTAACAAAACAAAAGACACGTTTATTGCTCTCATCACTTAGGAAATTCTGAGGGTTTTAGGAGCTCTGTGCCAGAAACAGAGGAAGACCAAATACATATTTCTTAATATAAATCACAATATCACTACTGCCTATCCCTTCTGGTCTGCTTAATCAACTCCTAACATTCTTTCAAGACACCAGTCAAATGTTCCTTCCTCAGGAAATCCGTGCTGACCTAGAACAAGAAACTTAGTTCCATGTTGTATGGGATTCCCATAAACCGGTTTACATGTTTCCACTAGAACATCTTCCTGTGTTTTAATGATGTACTAATGAAACTATCTGTCTGGTAGACTCTGAAATATATATAAGTGCAAGAATTTTATCTTATTTCTTGAGGTATTGTATCAAGTCTCTAGTATAATACCTGGCACCTGTTAGGCTAACAAGAATGTTTATTGAATGAATGAATGTAGTCTTATAAGATACACCTGGGAACAGTAATTTTGTCTAAATCTTCAATTATAGGTTAGAAACATAGGTAGACACATCTCTGTGCCCTTAAATTTAGTCAATTTAACCCATATCAAAGACACTAAGATCATTTGCATGAAAAAGATAAAACACTGAAAACCTTCATTAAAAATTCACTAGAGTTTTAACCTAATTTGTAGCATTCACTTATGAATATGTCATTAAGGCCTATAATAAATCCAGGCATGGTCCCATCTCAACAGAAGGTGCATGTGTATCATCACCATCGTATTTCCCCTGGAACTGAAGTATGTGGAAGGTACAATAATCATCAGTTTTTTAAAAGTCCCCAGATGTGTACTTTAATGATACATTAAGAAGCTGTTATTTTCCAAGTATATTGGTTCATTTTTTTTTACACAAGCTCAACATATATGTATACAATGAATGTTTAATCTGTATTCACTAAGGGTGCTTAATTTTAGATTGCAGAGCTGTTTTAGCTCAGTTCTATAAAAGTGAAAAGATATTTAGGGAAAAAACAATGTTCATTCTTGGAAGATTAAGTATCTAATAAACTACGTAATTTCTGTTTAATTAAAGGTGAAATCATAGCTGCCACGAACTATTTTTTTCCTGGTGAATTTTGCACAGGAAAAAATATACAAAGAATACTGACTAACAATGAATTGAACATTCATCTCCCTTATAGAATAATGATATACATGGTCATCAATTTATTTTATTATTTAAAGCAGATAATAAAAATATAGCAAGGATTTTTCTGGTTCTTTTTTGCTTGGCCTTATAGAAATTTGTGTGGTTACTGCCTTAGATTGAGCAACAATTAGAAGCCATAATGTTAATCATGTTGAAGAATTATAGAGTTAAGGTCAGATATGAAAATAAAAGTCCTACATGAATACATATTGTGGGAGATCAAGATTTGGCCACCCTGAAATCTATCTCTTTACCTTGGTTGTTTTCTCTAGGGACATTTGACCTCCCCCACTAACTGCCTAAAGAATTTGACATGGTAGCTCCTTCCTGGAACAGATCTATCATGATGGCTGTAAAGATAACGTAGGGTAAATGTTACAATAGGAAAAGCACCAACAAGCCCCTCTTATCAGAAGTTCTGCCTCTCTGGCCACATTCTCTGGATGACCCTGCAAAGAGTTGCCAGACAATCATTTACATTTATAAGGGAAATCTCCATTTGTAAAGGTATCTCCCTCTCTGTTTGGAGAAGAGAGGGGGATGAGCTCATTTCTAGTGACTTATCAATGTGGAAGGTGAGGCCTTGAGCTACATAATAAACCTTACTCTTGTTTACTGTGCTTTAGTGGTAATCTCCTGTAATTGACTCCCCCCACCCCCAAAATCCTCCTTTGTCATTGGCTGAAAATGATATTTAAGATGAAAATTTCTGCTATTGTGTTGAGAAAACACAGTGTCCCTGCTTTCTCCCATGTATACATGTTATTAAACTTGGTATTATTTTCTCCTGCTAACCTGTCTCGTTGATTATTTGGCCAGCCAGAAGAACCTTAAGGGAAACGGCAGAGGGAGATTCTCCCTCTTCCCCCGACAATATAATATGAAAAAATAATAAGTGAAATAAGTGGCAAGAGGCGTATCCAGACTTTATCCAAAGTAGCTATATTGAGAATGTTGGAAATGATGACTAAATGATCTTTGAATTACTAAGATTAAATATATCACAAAAGCATTAGGAAAGGTTTGCAAAATTTCCATTATTGTGACACTTTCCTATTACCCTGAATGTTTCACAAAATGTCAGCGACAATTATTTGCATGAAATTCTAAACATAGAGTGCCAGAAAAAGAAAATAAAAATGTTGGGCACCTCCCACATATGCACAATAACTAAACATTAAACTACTTTCTTAAAAACAATTATTTCTTTGCTATTCATATTTCAGGGGAATTTAAGTCGCTAAAAAGGCCTTCATGATAGCTTGAATCTTTATGCCAGTTGTATAACCCTAAACCTCTAGGAAAGAAACAAAACACCAAATGCTTTGGTTTAAACTTCCTACTGATGTATCTCTCAAGTCT